GGAGATGGGCGAAGGCAGGGAGGGTGGCCAGGAATTGCAGAGCTTCGTTTAGGCTGTTCCACATGTCGGTGACTCGAAGCGAGAAGAAATGTCGTTGTTGTTGTTTCTTGCGCCCGTCACGCTCGCCAGGGGGGGGAGGCTCTGGTGGTGGGCGGGAGGCAGGCACCGGAAGAGGGGAGAGATGGGCGAAGGCAGGGAGGGTGGCCAGGAAAGCCGCTGCCTCCACGGGGTTGTCCCACAGTGAGGAGACGCTGAGAGACGTGATGAAGGCGGGGCAGGCGAAGAGGTGCTGAACGGACTGGAGGATATCTCCGCACTCCGGGCAAGCGGAGCTAGGGGAGCGACCGATCCTGGCGGAATAGGACGCCAGGGAGCTGCAGTATCCCGAGCGGAGCTGGGATAGCGCCGAGCGGTAGGGGCGAGGGAGTGAGGCCTCCAGTGATGCAATCGGCGGTGGCGGAGCTGCGAGGACGGCGTTTATGGCGTCAGTCGCCGCAACACGGGAGGCGATACGGAGCTGTATGGTGCAATGGTGAGAGACTCTTGTCTCTCGCACCCAGCGCCCGGGTTCGAGTCCCACTGAGGACAAGTTCTACCGGGAAGCTCAGCTCATGGTCAACCCAGCCATTCATCCAACTCTGGTTGATAAATGAGAACCTGGCTTGTCCAGGATGTTGTGAAATACAACCAAATGGTTCTGGCGGGTCAGTGAGCCAGTGATGGTCGTGGAACTACCAGTGGCACCAAGTGCCCGGAAAACTGACCTATCACCCCCCTCCCTAGTCGCCACTGCCAGGATGGGCTATTACAACAACAACGCGGGAGGCGATCTCCCTGCGGAGGGGCCGCTTGGCCTCTCTGTAGGCACCGGCAGGCATCATGCCATTACCCAAGAATGGTGTGACCAGGTGGCCGAACCTCGACTGGATGGAGGCCATCATGGGGCGGTGCCCCGGGGGGCAGAAACGATGCGGAATGAGGTATGGGAGGGAACACGAAGCCTTAGCTTCTCATTGGCAAGTTTTGTGGATTATCCCAAATAAAAAGCATGCGTTGCACTCACAAAGCGCGATAAAAATTTATTTCTCCACCTGTTTACACGTAATCAATAATATCAAGATTAAACAAAAGGTTATTTCATTGAACTGCAGAGTTGAATAACTTAATAGAGAACGTACGTAAATTTGGTGGCTGTTTATTGCAAACAATTCCTTAGGACCCCAGCCATAAAAATATCGCTTGCTAGAGGGCCAGTAAAAAACTGGTTTCGGAATCATTTTAATAAGCTACTCATTAATAATATTAATGAACTGGTAATTCTTTTTGAGAACAGATGAGATAATAATGAATGGCAGGATCCATACCACTGCATCCTTATATGATTCATAATTATAATGTCAGCATCTGAAGAGAGGTAATCAATATTCCTTATGGTTACGCTTGCGCTGCGTCAAAAGGGGTAGCTCATTAGTGTGGAAAATGCGAATATATTTACCATTTTTTAAGTTTAATCTTAATTGTTTATGCTCATTGTCCAGTAAAAGAGAAGTCGCCGTCCGACCACACGGCATCCAGGTCGCTCAGCTCGACGTCGCCCTGGAACAAAAGTTTACTAATTTTGTTATATCAAACAATAATATGGGTCTAAGTTAGGGTACGCACACAGTGAAAGCAGGTTTGCCCGCGCGGGCAACCTGCTCCAACCTGCCACAAGAATGAACATAGGATAATAATGTAAGTATTCACAGTGAAAACCTGTACGAATAGGCTTCTGTATTCTATGGTTTCAGTCGCCAGCCTGAGCAGGTAACCAGCACGCTGGCAACCTGCTTTCACTGTGTGCGTACCCTTACATAGATCTGTCATGAACACATCAACACGGAGATATTTAGTATAAAAACATCCTTCCACATTAACGTATAGGAATTTTCACGGATCCATACGAATAAAAAACAAATTATTTCTTGAAAATTTATAACAAAAATATAACAAACTCTCTTTTTTTTTTGTTGCTTCAAACTAAAACAAAAATCAAAATACGGCTGCACAACTCAGTACCATGAATATCTTCGCCATGTTCGATTTCCAAGGCAAACTGCGTCACAGAAGTGTGAGCAAAAACACACCAAAATCAAGTACAACATATTTAAGTTTGCTAAATTTTATCTCTTTTTAGAATGTTCTTGCGCTACAAGTTCTCAATTTGTTTTTATGTCCCTTGTGAAAATTATTGTGCTCATGAAGAGAAGCTCCACAAGTATTGCATTATAAAAAACACTATACGGTATTTAACTAACCGGGTTTTGCATTTAATTTTCTTGTGTATGTTTCAAAACGCCTATGCCAGGATTGTGACCAAACTATATTTTCTATGAACATTTACAGTTACCGCCCAGAGGCACATTTAAATTTGGACATGGCCTTGGAGGATTTACTGGCAAATCGTTCAGTGGTATCACGTATTGGGGAACCAAAGATCACGTCATGGCTCGACATTTAATCAACTATGTTGATACGAGACTTTTATTTAGAATATTAATGTTTATAGTGTTTTTATCTACCGAGACCATATATTTCTAGGTGGTGAGTAAGCATTTACCATTAACTAAGAGATTCTGTTAATGCATTGTACAAAATACTATTGGGCCAGGAGCAGAAGCTGATTAATGATTAATCAGCTTAACAGCGGATTAACGATTACTAATGAATCTCCATACACGTTGCCCAATTCCTACGCTACCATGAATGACGATAAAAATAACAACTACATGAAGTCTATAACCGCAATTGCACACCTCAGAGTCGTTAATATCCTCGACCTCCATGTCGAAGGGAGTGACATCGGGGCTAGCGGGGGAGTCTGTGTCTAGAGAGCCTCCCGCGCCGCTGCCTGCCGTGTTGGACAGCAGCAAGCTCACGCCTTCCGACACGTCTCTGGTAAAACAAAGATATTACATAGTTATATTTTTATTATTGTTTAAATAATGAAATTCGGATTGCATAAAAAATATAGATGGGAAACGCCACAAACTGTTGGTTGGCATAATGCTGCGCCAGGCCCCGACCACTTACTCCTGGTTGGCGTAATGCTTCACCAGGCCCCGACCACTTACTCCTGGTTGTCATAATGCTGCGTCATGCCCCGACCACTTACCCCTGTTTGGCATAATGCTGCACCACGCCCAAAGCACTCACCCCTGATTTGCATAATGCTGCGCTATGGTCTGGTGGTGCTGACTGAGGTCGTGCTGCTGCTGCTTGGAGTACACACATCTTCTTAAATATATGTTCCAAACCGATAACATTTGAAATGAACATCTAGGCTTTGATTTGAGTGTAAGTTAACACGTTGACTACGAAGTGGTACATATGCGTACCACGAAATGTATTTCTCCAGGACGTAGTGGTCTATAATTCAGGTTTCCTAAAATTGGCCAAATCCGAGAACAAAAAAGGCCAAAAAAGGCCGATAACTCAAAATATACTAGTTTATTTGTAGGTTTCACTATAAAAATTCTATTCATTTTCTTTTTGCAGTATTTAAAATTTAATTAGAAAGTACCCCTATCATAAATTTCAGCCGGCCAACGCAATTGAGAAAAACTAAATCACAGAATTTGTCCGGAAAAAATGACCGTCTGGCAACCCTGTTGAAAAACAGTACAAAAAATGAAATAATAGTACAAGATGAAGCAATCGTAGTCAACGCGTTAATTGGGCAAATGAAAGATTATACAAAATCATTCCATGAATCATGAAGACATGGAAAATTATAATATTAAAATTCATTGTCGCTTTGCAACATAATTATCTCCGACTTATTTGATATTGAAAATATTGTACGAGTTACTACCTTGTAAGGCTCGAATCTGTGAGGCGCAAGCTGCATTGCCTCCCTGTAGTGCAGAGCGGCCTCCTGCATTTTTTTCAGCTCCAGCAACAGTCCTCCCTTCAACAGCAAACCTTCCACCGAGAGCGGATCTATGGAACAGGCCTGAACAAACGTGCAACATCACACAACTTTAGAATAAATTAAGTCACTGGTGAAAGTTTACGTTACTCATGTAAACTGCTAGGAAATTTTGTGTCCAAAGATTTAACGTCATTCACATAAGATGCGGAAGAGAAAAAAAAAGTACTAAGGAGCGGAAATCAAGGCCCCGCCCACTTTGAGTTCCGTAGTCGTCTAGGAACTACGAAAGAGGCTAGTTCTTCATTCTAGTCCATCACTAAAATACCGGATCCAGGTTTCCGATATTGAAGGATACCCGATGCGTAAAATTTTTGGACTTGGTTATTCACACTAAAACAATTTAAGCTTGTATCAATGGTACCTAATTCCTTACTTTTCGAAGTATATTGGCAAATTTGAGGATTACCTTGTGAGCGAAGTAAATAGCTTTAGTAGTGCGTTTGGACACGTGGCAATAGTAAGCAAGCAGTATCCATGGATGAGCCGAGTTTTCTGACACCGACACAGTGGCTGCAGCAAGAACTTCAAGCTCTTTGATTCTGTGGTCACTGTAGTAAAGCGAGCCTAGCATCGCCACGCCTTCCATGCTCAAAGGCTCTAGCTCGTGTGCCTGCATAATGAAAATAACTCAATCAAGATGATTTCAATGAATATATATAATGCCATGCAAAAGAGTAGAGAAAAAATTGGATTTATGTTGCATTGTCATAAATTTCAAGCGCCATAACTTCAAAACAACTCAAAGTGGCAGAGCAAATTCACAATGACAAATAAATTTGCAAAACGGTAGATAATTTATTATTAAAAAAAATGATAAGCTCCTAAATTGACCTTTTGTAGAACAGGCATAGCGCATTTTTCATCGCCCTGCATGTAATAAGTTATGCCTAGAGTTGCCAGGAGATGAGCATTGTTACGTAGTGGCGAGTGTTCCTCCAGCTGACGCAAGGTTGATACAGATGATGAGAAGTCGCGATTAGCCCGTGCCGAAAGACCCTTAACAAATGTCAACAACCTGTCCAGAGGGGCCAATTAATCTTGAAATAGTACCATGAATTACCCAATACTCTTATTAGGTAAATGAATTTTTTTTAATGAACGCCCTAACTAGCTAGGAAATAAAAGATGTACCATATGAGGTACTACATTAATGTGTTTGTTTAGAAACAGAACTAAAATTGACCAAGATAAATTAATTTGCATAGGTACTTTAATACCAAGCAAGAGAAAATACTTTGGAATTTAAATATTTAATGCACGTTTCTTCAACACAGAAACTACCATAGTTAAAGATGAGTAAGCACATTCACGAAATGACTTTAATCCTACACGCATTACAGACTTAGAAAGTCATTAGTTAAATTAATATGCAACATAATATACGCAAAACAATAAATTGCATAAAAATTTAAATTATAATAGAAAAGGACAAACCACTCAGGTGGAGGAGAGTCCCCACTTGACATGATGTGTGTGACTTCTGACAGAGGGAGCCTCAGCATCAGGAGTTTCTCAGCAGCTTCGATTGCACAAGGACATTCCTAGGTCAACATGAGTAAAAATTGTCTGACTTAATTGACAGGCACGAAAATGATTCTCCTTAATAAAACTATAAACTAGGTTCACTTAAATTGCACATGCTTTTATTAGAAATACAACAACAGAAACAATATAATAAATTTGAAGAAAGATGAGCTAACAGTGCACAGCAGATTAAATTTACACAGCATTCCAGTCATAAGAAAAAAAATATCCAAATGTCAAAATTATGACCCATCTTAGAGGTAAATTTCAGTCAGTGAACAGAATTTGTTACAGGAATTTCATGTATGACATTTTTTGTGGAAGTCAGGCATATACCCTATTTGAAGGGTAAAAAAGAGGAAACAAAACAAAAATAAATGTATGCAATTTTTTAATTTCATCCATCAAGGTCTATAGGCCATTAGCCGAGTTTTAATTAGAATAGGTATAAAAATCCTTACTATCCTCCTAAAATAACCAAGAGTTAACAAATACTGTACCTAGACATAAATTTCAGCAATTTCTAAAAGTTTTTCAAATTCAATACACACTTTGAGGACTTCTTTGAAAGCAGAAATAGCAGACCGTTCCATGCCACTCTGCTGGTAGAGGTTGCCAAGTAACATGTTGAACTTAATGCTCCTTGAACGTGGACCAACAGTTTCCAGCACACTCAATGCAAGATTTGGCTGTCCAATGACTATATGACATTCTGCCATTGAATACTTCAATTCTGAAAAGAAAATAAAACTTTATAAGATGACAGTTAAAAACGTCAAAGGTGACATTGTAAAAATGTACAATGCACTGATGATTTCCATGATACCAGAACAGACACAGATTAGTATTACATGATGGAAGAATTAGGTAGCTTAGTAGGTATGATTCTTTAATCATCTTTTAGACTCACCCATCTCAGTTAATCCTTCAATATACAGATCAGAGGCTTTCACTATTTTCCCTTTTAGTAAACTTTTTGCATAAATGACCGATTTCTTGAGCATGGCTTCTGCTCTCCTGTACTGCTTTAGTTGCTGCAAACTGAGCCCCAACATTGCCATGCAATGGTAGCGGTGCTGACACAACATGCAGCTTTCTCCTTGATTCTCAGCAGCTGTCAGTACCATTGAAGCCTGTAAAAATAAAAGGAAATCAGAAATTCATCAGAAGATGTCAAGAGACAATGAAAAATCTATAGCAATCCTGTAAACTAAATTTTGATAAGAGTTTTCAAACAACTGGGTAGACCAACACTATTCACACATATAGAATGTCTGATTAATTTAAAAACTAATGCATAGTAATGACTAATGTTTCCATGATTATCAACTAAACACCCTAGGAACTAAATGGCCAGCATCCAGTCTATATCCTATGACAAAACATAGTTTAAGAATGTCGCTTCAGTTTAGCATGCTGCACATCTCCAACCACCAGACTTAATTCCCGTAACTTCTACATCAGGGTTTCTGAATACCAGGACATGAAATTTTGTTCAAACATGCAACTTTCTAAACGTTATCAATCCGCTATGCACCATCATAAAGAACAGTACAACATTACTGCATCTGCCAGCGATTTTCAAGATACTCAGTACCACCTAAGGTGTATTATTTTATATTCAAGGATTTGGGAATAACTGTATAATGTAAAATGAAAACCATATTGTAATTGTGTGTAACAGTTCTTATCCTCTTACAATAATGAATACATAGATTTTCATGTTCTATTTGTTCCTTCTTCTCATTACTTAGGTTTAAATTTCTTGAATGTAAACTTGATATGTCAATAATAATTGTACTTGCATTCTATACAACTGAACTGATGAGGAAGATGATCCCCTGAAACATTTTCAGTAAAGATATGGCAAACTTTCTTGTTATAACACTTCTCTTTAACTTCTCTTCTTGTTTGTTTGTCAACTACATAATCAACATTTAACACACTGCAACCTGTCCAATAGATCTAAAATTTTGCACACTTGCGTAAAGTCGGAGACAATGCTTGAATCAATTGACAGAATAAATAATTTTAAAAAATTAATAATAACAAATAAAAAAATATTTGGTTAATATTCAAAAATAAAATAAAAAATTCTTTGTACATTGGAGACACTGGCCTCTTAAGAAGTGTTGGTGAGCTTGCCATTTAAGCAGACTAATAATAAAAGTACATTAAGATTGAACACAGAAGTAAATGAAAGAGTTTTTATTGACCTTCCATTTTGAGTTAAGAGTTCTATGAGCAGAGTGTAGACCAGTAAGTACTACCATCCTGTAATCCAGCATGATCCTGTACAAGATATAACATAAAAGCTTAAAGTAGATCTAGAAAATTTAAATGAACTGGCAACTAAAGTTCTCTTATGTGCTATCATGATATTGAATGAAATCCTGTAGTAGGTTGGTAAATTATAAATGAATAATTTTGTAACAAATTTCTCATTTTCTGTTATGCTTGCTGCTTCAGTCCCAATCTGGAATATTGACCAAGATTTTCTAAAAATTACAAGTAAAAACAATCATTTTTCATGTGACTATGATTTTCAACAAATCTGGATTACCGGTACATATGATTTTCCAAAAACCATTGTTAAAAATAACCTATTCATCTTAATTTTCATAATATAAATAAGGTCAAGGTTTCATGAATAAGAGAAATTGCTCATAAGCACAGGTATTTTGATCCCATTCTCAGATGGCTTATGCCCAAATCCAGTCCAATTTTGAATATTAGGCAGAATTTAAAACAATAATTTGATAAGTAACATTTTATGATTTACAATAATTGCAAGCAATAATTTGTCATTTACCTGAATTCTGACTAAAGAAACCAGTCAAGGCCCTCAAGGGCCATAAGAACAGATGAAAATTACCATGAGAACAGTCATTTTTGGTTCATCCATGGGGGCTTCTGTCAGATTTTGTAATTTGAGACTCAATTTTCAAAATTTGGCTCTAATCCAAATAGTGAGATAAACAGTATAACAGTAATACCTATATATTAAAGTCTAGAATCCCATTTTAATTTACTTTGGATGTTAAATAAAATGTATAAAAAAAAATTTTAAAGACCACGTTTTTCATGTGGACTCAAAAGTAGAAAATAATTTTTCGGCAGCTACTGATCTCTGTTTGCTTTCATTCTCTTGGTCTTTTGTATTTCAGTTAAAATATTTTACAACATCTAAAACGAAAAACGATATTGTTATCGGAAGCTGAGCTTCCCTAAAAGTTTCAGAGCGCTAGCTAATGGGAAAGTTGGTGAAATATCGATTGCAAGATTTGATCATCACAGACACGAAAGCGAGCTAAGAAAAACGTGGTAAAAAACATACTTTCATCAATCAATGTACGTACCTATGTCACATCTTGCAAACCTAAATTTGTAATTATAGTTTTAGTATTTTGAGGAGATCATAGTGACAACCCAATTTTTTAAAATCAGTTCCTTTTTAATTTCCTCATCTATTATAAAGATTTAAACCAATTTGTTTTGTATGAATGTTTATTTTTGCATGATGGTATCCATGAGAGACCATGAATGGACCAGAACCATGATATATATACTCTTTGGGTCTACTTCACTAGGTACTGTCAAATGGGTTAATAAGGGACAGTCGTGGTTAATCGGGATGTGCATCCACATTTCATAGAAATGTTGTAGCAGCTAAATTAATCAAAATATTGCAAAACTAGAAATAGTGGTGTAAACTTCAACATTTTTACTACTGTATCTATTATGTATAAAACTAGTTAAGAAATCATACATTTACTATTTTTAAAAATCACAGAAAAAAAGTGTGAAAAGTGTGATTTTGGAAAAGTACCTACCTCTACTAAGGTCTGGAGCAAAAAAATTTTTTGCCATATTAAAAAATTTTACTTGCATAAAAGTTGCACAAAAGGCTTGAAAACAAATTTGTTGGCTTGAAAATGCAATTGACAAAATTTGCCTATCAGGCCCTATCTCATTCCCCCCCCCCCCCAAAAAAAAAGCCATTTCCGCATGAAGGGGGAATAAGAGACACCCCCAGGCCCCAGGGTAATAAGGGACACCCCTAAAAACATATTTACAGTTTAACCTCAGTTAGAAAAGGCTTCAGTTAACCAAAATATTGATTAACAGCAAAGAATTTTGATTACATTTACCTTGCTAAGCAAGAAAATTTCACTCATCAAAAAATTAATGTATCATCGTCATTACAAAATTGTATACAGAATGTCATATAGGCATAGAATTGTACACTGGGCATCATAGAATGAGAAGTAATTAACCTAAACTAGCTATGTTTTAGGGTAAACACACCATATTCTGACACTTTAAGGCATAGTGACAAACCAGAGATTTTTTAAAATCAGTTCATTTTTAATCTCCTCATTTACTCAAGATTTAAACCAATTTCTTATGTATGTCGTATGATAATGCTGGTATCCATGATACTTTGCTTGTCTACTTATAGGACTCAAAAATGAACTTGAGGGAGAGTCTAAAAAACTCTCTGCTTTGCCACTATGCTTTAAGGATGTAGCAAGAAATGAATGGCTATAAAAAGATCACCGTATGCGCAACTTGAGTTCTGATTGGTTTACGTCACTCTCAAAACACCACACTATAACTATGTGCCAGCAATGATGAAACGTCACAAACTGTTGCCATATTCATTTAAAAGTCTTTAGAATTCAAATCTACAAAACCGCTGAATTCGGACGCTGTGTGTGACTAAATTTGGCATATTGTAAGACTAATTCTGACAATGCTTCAAAACCGTAATTCGTAATTCTCATGCCCTGTGTTGGAATTCCTAAGCCGTGTGTGAGCTTTTATGAGAGTTATGATTTATGAGATACTATGAGTTATTTTATGAGTTATGAGTTATGAGTTATTATGAGTTATGATTTATTTTATGAGTTATGATCTTTTTTAATGGTGAATTCACTTAAGCCAACTAAAATGGTATGAAATTACAAGCCATCCAATAAGCTTATAGATAAAGAACAGAAGAAATGCTATATAGTATATGGCAATATGGCTCATAAATTCATAATGGCTGCCATAGTGACAAAACAGAGATTTTATAGAATCAGTTCATTTTTAATTTCCTAATTTACTCAAGATTTTAACTAATTTCTTATGTATGATAATGCTGGTATCCATGATACTTTACTGGTCTACTTATAGGACTCAAAAATGAACTTAATGGAGAGTCTAAGAAACTCTCTGCTTTGCCACTATGATGGCTGCTGTCTGCTGATATGCAGTTTGCAGTGGACAAGGTTGTTGTAAATGCTCAATGGCATGTTTATGGATATGGTAATATCACATCAATAATACGGTAATGAATGAATATGGTGATATCATAACAATAAAGGATAAACAAGTAAAAAAACACAGAAAATGTCATTTATTCCACATCTACACTACATAATCTAAGGCTCTAAGTACAATGAAAGAGGAGGACTTCAGACTAGGAGTTGCTTCTTGATTGTCTTTGTATCTTAAAACAGATGATGAAAAATTAGTACTAATCGAATTTTATCTGAATTTTAAAATATCTATTGTATATATCCCAATATTAAACAATTACTTACAAAATCCACGAGGTTGCTATGAAGCTCATTTTTAAATAACAGTTTCACTTGTTCGTATAAAGCCATGGTTATTTTTATGCTGGAGTTTATACTGTAAAGTGTAAATAACGACAATTCACTCGATAAAACAAACAGAACCTGAACCTGACAAATGCCAATTCTGACCAAACACGGTATAAAGAAAACAATGTACAACCGTCCGGCTGCTCGGAAAAGTAGTAAATAAATTAATTTCAATGAGAACGCGTCATCAAAAAATTGTTTTTTTATAGGTTTAAACTTGCGAATAGGGTGGTGAATTGACCCTTTAACCCAAATATTTGCATCATTCTCGCAAACTCGCATTGATGCACAAGATAATTTAATTTATAATAACATGTGTATGCGATTCAAATTTATGGTCCCAAGTTGTTTCTTTAGCAAGTCACGGCTAAAAGTATGCTTATATCTAGTATCATAATGGAATATCGTATTATTTTGATCGTAAAAACATGGTTTCTCAATAAATAAATATCATATAATTGGTGTTGCGCATGCACGCCTTTAGTTCAAACCAATAAAGTTCAAATTTTGAGTAAGCCTTGAATGTCTTTGATCAATGTTCCCATAATAGAAGTCACAAAGCCTCAACTTTTACTCGTCGACCTTCATGTATCGCAACAAAATAAATTGTTTTCCAAATGTGATAAATATATGAGCCACATTGATGTTTTACTTAAGGTGCTATTCTCAAAAAGGGTCTTCTTGTGATCGCTCTTCTCAACAAATCTGAACATTTTACACGCAATTTGATTTCATCTCAATTGCTTGATTAATAGCAATAACGCATATTCCTTCTCTCCTATAAGCCAAATATTCGAATAAGACAAAAAATTTCAGAGATTCTTTCTATCAAATCAATAAGCCAAGTTTCTTAAAGTGTTGTGATAAACGAGCTAATGTTAGATTGGGTTCTCTCTAAAAGGTTCACCGGAGACGCAATCTGATCTTACACGCCACTCGCTCAGCAGACCTCAGTCTGCCTCTTGTTAGGTGCCGCGGCCAATTATATGTATGTAATAGACCCATAACTACCTCGAGTGAATCTCTACTTTTAAATAATATAATTTAATTTTTTCGAGCAATTCATTCGTAAATAATCATATCAAGCAATTGGTATATCAATCAATTTACAAACTCTATTTGTGGTTATTTTTGGTTTGAAATAGAAAGAGAAGACCTCACTTTTCTTAATTAAGATACATTCTAAATTCGTTATGTGGATCAGGAATTCTTATTAAGTATTATGATCAAATAAAATACTGCTTGGGAAGTATAGTATTTGACGTGTTCACCGGGCTAAAATTTTCCCAAATAACCGGAAAACGAAAATGCATGATAATTTCGATCCATTAACCTTAACTAAATATATTTGATTGTACAATCAAATATTGCTTTATTATTATATTTAATTTATTTTGCAGATTTATTTATTGGATCCAATTAAAAACTGAATGATGTGGTCATGAAAAATAACTTGCCGGATACACTCAGTGCTCGAGGCAAGCAATGCGTGCGCTGTAAGGTGACCACAGGGGAAGACGTCTGGCTTGCGTCAGGCTAAACATGGACAGAGTTTGGTTACCGTCACTTGTATACACTCAGCCGTCATTCTAGACGTGATATAATGTATCGTCATTACATTGACATAACAGCTTTGAATAACCAAAAAGTTGTACACCATCAAATAATTTTAATTACTAAAATAAGGTAATTTTACAGATAGTTTTGAAAGCGCAATATAACTTGAATTTTACAATACACAATAGCTGCATCATAATTTTTAAAAATAGATTATATGAATTTTGATGGTTCTTATTTAATACGTAGTTACTCTAATTGTATTAGTTCTATGGTGATAAAAGTGATCATGGGAAGCAGAGTCAACTTTTACTGCACCGAAGTTTTCACATTTGGCAGCAATTAATTCATGTACAACATACACATCGCTGTGTACTTGGTTTACACAGCATGTAAAGGTTGGAAACCCGAAGGCCGTCCTGGGGCCTGCCAGTCTCGACTGAGACGCTACCGATGTTGGTAGGCGCTGATATTCGCTCTTCAGTTATTTTAACCTCCGGTCCGGTGTCGGCAGTAGAACAAATTCAGTGACTTAATATTTACAGAAAGCGTAGGTCAACGATCACTAGAGATTCGTTAGCCGTACACATGTGAGGCCTAATATATCATTTATCTCAAGATCATAAGACGCGATAAGTAAAGTGTTATCGATTATGAAGTTTTCTCATTATTTTTTTGTACGTCATTGAATTGGTTTTAGTTATCGTACAGAAGTTGAAGAATTTAGCCATTGAAATATTTGCATGATTTTGTGTTTAGAAAAGTTTAAGTTACACTGAAACAGAAAGAGGGCTTTCAAATATTAGATGTATAATATGATTAATTGATTTTCCAGAGTTCACTGCGTCAGCACTCTTTTTAGTCACTGTAACCAATTTTTAAAGCAGTTACAATATTTTTACTACTACTCCTTCTTCAAACACGAGCAAAAATTTCGCGTACTTCTTCTTTGATGATGTAAATTTAAGGTCTGAAGCAACAAAAGATTTTGGAGGCGTGAAAAAATGCCGGTCACAGCAAAACAACGATGGATTTTTCGTTATAGGCTCGCATGGAGCCATTTAAAATTATTGACTGCAATTTCCTTGCAACTTTTGACTCTCTTCTCATGTAATGGAGCAGCTGCTGGAACGGGTTAGTGAACACTTCACGGTTTAATTTGTTTATTATAATTTCTCAATTGCTTCCATTTCGACTCTACAATAATTGGACGCATCAATCAACCTTTATCTTCTCTAATCTATTTGAATATCACAAAATTTGTTCTGAATACTCGATCATAATTCAGAACAAGATTAATTCTAAATTCACATTAATTCAAGAGTTAATCGTTCCTGCGCCATGACGTAGCTTCGTAGATCCATGTGCATTTAACGAATTTTTTTATTCAATAATTTATTCGAAACAATTTGTTGCTGTTTCGAAACATTATGAAAACCAGTCCTCAATTCTCGGCTAATGACTTCGGAAAACTAGAAAATTTGAAACTATTTTTAAAACTGTGTTTATGTTCTAAATTTTCTTTCTGTAGTAAAAACACAAGTTCTTTAAACGAATCTATTCCACTTGAAAGGATCACTAGCGTGATCACAAGTTGTGATTACCTATTGTATTTGGGAAAATTTGTATTAGTTCTGCATAATAAGGAACAAATTGCCGTGTTCTTCAGTTGGGCTGTCGGAGTCGTTCTGCAAGGAGGGAGCCGTGCGGCAGCAATGTGACCTGCCCACAGACGAATGTTCAGGTGAAATAATATATGAGTTATAATTACTATTCTCACTTACATGACATCAATTATGTCTGTAAAGACCATTTTAATATTTCGAGAGGCCATAAACTGAATTAAATTTTCTGTGTGTAATTTTTGCTACTTACGACACTAGGTTTGCAAAAAACGGCAGAAATTTTACCGGAAACTTAAGCCAAGCATTTTATCGTGATGAAAATCAATTATGAAGTGTATAGGTTGATTCCGCTGGTGTGGTGTTATTGCTCATAAGCACTTCAACTGCCATATCACAGTTGTGATTTCAGTTCATCGTGATTTTTGTGAAACTATTTTCACCTCATCGGCTCATCCTATGAGAAGAATTTTGTATAAATTTTTGCTGAATTTAGGTTCAGGTCTGGAGCATCTTCCTCTGGGTTATGTGTTTGTGACTTCGCTTGTCACCGAATGGTCAATCGCCGGGACTTCAAATGCAAACTCGACAGCATCTCAACCTCACCGGTTAAACGGTGAGACTTCCGGGACGGCATAATCTGAACTCTTGATGACTGACCAAACAATGTCTTATCAATACCAATTCTTTATATTTGTATATATTGATTCCAATAGCTCAAATATTTTCGCAGATGTTGTGTATCTACAAATATCCTGCATGGAGACCTTAGTCATCCATTTTATTCGCTATTAATATCTGCCTCAGGTATTGATTTATTATACCTTATTAGTTAACGAAATAAAAACAAAACGCGAGTTGCATCAACCTGATCTATCAGGTTGATGTAAGGCACATCTGGTAAAGAGATGAATTTGTTGTTGTTTATCTGGTTGATATGTACGTACATTCTGCATATATTTATTTTGTAGTAACTTCGTTTAGGGAGCATAATTAATAAACTAGCCGAATCCCTTAACCCTACAGTGGTCACGTGGATTACATATATTAATCCACGCCTATGAAATTCGACTGTAACTAAATCTATCGAAAAGGTGGTTGGTCAGTTTTTCCACGTAACCACTAGTACTGCAGGGTTAAGTCGTCATTTCCCAAATGTTTGATTTGCTAAAATATTTTCAACTCACCTGGTTATCCGTATTGTAATTGTGATGCTAATTTTGTCAGGGCAGTTTCGCTTTAAAACATTAAAACTTACTAGTTCCGTCGTACACATTGATTCGTTCCAGTTTCTTTGTGATATTGCGTCTTATTCGATTTATTAGTTTCGATCTCCTCGTGTTAGCGACGAAAAAATTACCTAAAATTATTGTCAACAACACACTGTTTTTAATGCAATTTCAAAAACTCAGTTCTCTTCCCGGTGAATTCAAAACTACTTGGTGCAATTAAATACACCGAAATAATGTTTTGCTAATCTTTAAACCTCTTCACCTGGTTATTTTCACCCGATTTCAACCCCGCACAGCCGGCATCGAGGATGGCGGTGTGACAGGCAGCATGCGGGACGTGTTGCTCGTGACGCGCGTCACTCCCTGCGTCCTGCGGCTCAGCTTCAACCAGCCTGGGGTCGTGAGTTCGGATATATTTTTACTGTATTGTATTTGTGCTAGCAGAAGTTGGAGATATTTGATTGAATTTTGACATTTTCCGTGGCTCAGGAGCATAAATTGTAACTGTTTATGCAACCATAGTCTTGAGTACAGATTTCATTCGCAATGTGTGTATGTATAGTAGGCGATATGAACTTTTCAGGGTTCAATAAGTTGATCATAACTTATTTTTTTTCCTTGATATTTTGTAGGAAATGGTAAACATGAACTTAACACTTGTTTTCCTGCATCCTGGAACGAGTATGTCGAATGCAGACGAATGTGCCGACAACGTAGATTTTTTATAAGTTTATAAACTATATTCCAGACTCAACGATAATCATTTCAAAATTTGAATGCTAGCTTTACTTATATCAAATAAGTAAACTCTTACTTAGCTCACCAGAAGTAAAGACGTTGTCGATTACCTATAGTGCGCCCATTATCGGCTTGGTCCAAGGGGTGCTAAGGTGACCAAAAAGTATTTTTAGCGCATTTTCTCATTTATGGAAAAAATGCACTATTGTGCTCGCCATGTCCGTCTGTCTGTCTGTCTGTCCGTCCGTCCGTCTGTCCGTCCGTCTGTCCGTGACCTCAAGTTTTCGTCGACGAGAAAATGCGCTCTCTGTCACTCACTGCAGTGAGTACTGAGTTGTATATTTTTTTATGTTTCTGGGGCCAGGGTACCTATTTCGTGGGGGTGCGGGACAGGCAAGTGACTGCCTTGTGCCGAGAAACACAACAGTTTGCGGACGCGTCCACGGCGGAGACTCTGGCTCCTCTGCTCACGGCGGTCACGCTTACTTTGCTGAGCGTCCCAAGCGCCAGACTTGATGAACTGCACACTCGAATTGAGGCACGTATTATTTTGAGTGAAAATATTATTTCCTTGTATGTTTGGAAAAGACGCCTAAATATTATTGATCTAGTTTTTATTAAATGTTAAGAGCATGTTTATATTTATCAAAACTTGCTATAAACAAACATGCCGGTATTTTAAACCAAAATTCAAATACGTGAGTCATTTTTAGTTTATGAATATAATGTTGTAATTTTAATTCAGGGAGGTCCTGAGATAGGCGAGTGTGTTATGACCTATAATGCCACACACACTCCGTCACACAATCCCACACAGAAGCCCCCAGGTCAGTTGTTCAGCTTATCCCGAGTGGTAGGTCGGAAATATTAAATTGATATTCATAATCTGTTAATGCCTTCTGCACATTAATGGAAACTCTAAAAACCGTGCCTTTGTAGTTTTTCAGTCGTAATTTTGCGTGAAAGTGTTGATAAAGGAAGACTAAACGACTTAAAACCTAATTTTTATTCAATTCTATATAAACCATAACAATTTATTTCAAAACTTTAATATGTTATTGACACATATTAATCTATTATATTAAATTCGGATGATGTTTTGACGTGTATTCTTAATTTATTATTTTTTTGAAGCCACGTTATTATGTTGACGATCTGCACTACAGGATAACCCTCAGTCACATCGTACATCAGCCCTTGTTAATGTTTAGCGCTATTAAATGAACTTAAAAATTGAAAATTATTATTAGCAGTTTCACAATTGAGACTAAAACCATTTGTGAAGGTAATTTTCTAACACCGCTACCACCAGCTAATGCGACATACTAGACAAAACTGCATAGGGATTGTAGAAAACTACATTTTGTATTCATTAGTGACATTTCGACCAAGTCAAGACAAAATTCATTTATCCTATATTTAATTATAGTTTAGTGTACCTTCTTTCAAAGGTAATTGCTATTTTGCAGTCACGATCGTTCGCAAGACCTCAGATTTACGCAAGTGCAAGCCGAGCGATCCTCTGTACGATGCCCAGCTGCTTGGTCTCTTCGCTCAGCGAGCTGTGAGAATGATTACTTGTTTTCACTATATATCATGCGTTGCTAATAAAATATAACATATACATTAATATATTATACCTTTTAATAAGGAGTGAGATTACATTTATTAGTGCAGAGTTCTCCATTTACCTATTTACTCCTACCTTAGACATTTATATATTAGGGCTGGCTAAAATTAGGTTTTTTGCAAGAAATTCGTATAAAAATCGAACATCCACATAGAAACTTATCTCATTCGCGAAAATTTTTCCAGAGCTTGACTTGCTCACAGTACTTCATGCATCCCACTGATGTCCTCGCCCGGCAATCTGACGAAGGTAATACTCAAAAAAATTCTATATTACTTGAATCTTAATCGTGCTTAAACAATATTCGGATCCCGGGGTCAACATGCGTCATTTGAATCGCATCATTTGAAGTGTTTTTTTTTTCGATTCCCGACAGCCAACATTCTTTACGCATCTACAACGATCCATAGTACTAGAAGACCAGAAGCTCCAGGTGCAATCTTCATTTTTCTGGACATTTGTGTCTTATATGTTCCGTCAGTCCTAACTATCCTTTATTAAAGTGATACAACACCCTTTCCAAAAATGAGTTTTCGGACACCACACCACAATAATTTTTGATACACGAATAATTTAAAATTATAAATTTTTATGACCGTAGAAACAAAATAAAAATATTCTATAGAATTATCTGGCTTCTGAACCAGGTAGTTGCAGAGATGGCCGTAGTACCGACCTAACGAGACTAGATCTCAGGGCGACGTCATGCCAGCAAGAGCTGCTGCTGGGAGCTACGGTGCACAGATCTAAAGTTGCTCTCGTTGTGAGACAAGTCGTACCAAGTAACGAGAATCAATCAAGTCAGTATGAGTTTTCAAGTGAGTACCTTCGTGATTAACGTAAGTTGATGGCAATGGCATAGATATTATTTGAAATAATTCTACATTTAAAGTGCAAGTAATAATTCGTTTAATTAGGTAGCGTTATCATTGACGACCTAATGGACGCGTTTGAACAAAAGGCTCTCAACAAATGTACTAGTGCAACTGCATACGTACACTACTCAGGCAAGTCATCACACACATCACTCATACCCAACGGAGTCCCACAGGGCTCCGTCCTATCACCGTCACTCTTCAATCTATACCTGCACGACATACCCGAACCACCTCCAAACATCCACATTGCCTCCTACGCAGACGACATCACAATAACATCCACTGACCCATCCGCAGACATATGTACTCAACAAGCGCAAACATACCTCAACACTTTATCACAATGGCTAACACTGAACAGACTCAAGGTTGCTCCTAGCAAATCCACAAACACATTAATGACCAGCCACACAAAGGAGCACCAATATAGACCAAACATCACATTAAACAACACCCCGATCCCGCACACACACGAAACAAAAATACTAGGGGTCACTTACAACACCTCAATGACATTCGGCCCTCACATCAACAACATAGTGAACAACGCAAACATCAGACTCAACTCACTTCGGGCCCTAGGCGGTACCTAATTCGGCAAAAACAAAGAAACACTAGCACCAACATACAAACAGTTCATCAGAACAGTGCTGGCTTATGCCAGCCCCGCCTGGGCGCCCGCACTATCCAACACAAACATACAGAAACTTCAAACACTACAAAACAAAGCACTCAGGATAGTTACAGGCTGCACACAAAGCACCCCCATAGAGCACCTTCATGCAGAAACAAAAATACTTCCCATAAAACACACCTCGACATGAGAGGAACACAATTCATAGCCGCAGCCATAAACAACACGCAACACCCGTGCCACTACCTACGCAACCACACACCTACACACAGACAAATAGTGCAAACCCCACACAGATATTACACCAACATACTAGACACAGTACCCCCACCCCAAGGCAACACCAGCACAAAAAAAAACACTTACACACAATTATGACACTTAGAACGCAACAACAAAGTCCTTGTACACCCACCACCGGACATAAGCAGCACAGAAACACAGCTCTCTAGACTGGAGAGAGTACACCTAGCCAGGCTGCGCTGCGGCCACCACCCTTTACTACAAACATACGCAAACAGAATAGGCCAAGCAGACAGACACCTGCCCATCCTGCAAGAGAGCTTCCCACACAATCACTCACATTCTCCTGGAATGTCCGCTCTGGCAGGACCTCAGACAACACCACCACATAACCTCGACCCTACAGCTCTGGAGCGACCCCCTGTCGGTGGTGTCGTACTTGCGCGAGGGGGGTCTCCTGTAAAATTGAGACCGGGGAACCACAACAACAACTAGTGCAACTAGAGTACATAAGAGTCAAAATGAATAAACATGTGAATAAATATTGAATTCGACATTTGATGTATAAAATATTCTTTATACGTGACTAATTTATCGATTTATTATAAAAAAATCGTGAACGAGGAACTGTTTTGTGTTTTTCCAATGGTTCAAAAAGAGTTTTATGTTTCAATTACACAGAATTGGACCGAGTTCCTCTACGAGCTGAACCTTCTGACGCTCCAACAAGTCTGAAACATACAAACACTAATGAAACTGCGTCAGCGCTGAATGTAAAACTGAAGAAACTGTGTTCAGATGTTTCTTCTGGAGATGTTTTCGATATGCTAAACTTTGAATTGCCTTTATTGTATCCTGAGGTTGTCTCTTATATTGAAACCTTGTCGGAATATCAGCCGTTGATGGATATATATGAAGAAATCGAAGCTGGAACATTTTGCGACGATAACCTAGGCAACCGGCGTGTAAAGTAAGTATTTGACTTAACAGAGAGTAATGAATAAAATTTAGAGATAGAAAACAGTGTTATATCTACGAGGATAAAATGGCATCAATTTATTCATTAGTATTTTTTGATGAATCGAAGTCATCGGCATGACATTATTTTCAACAATGCATTTTTCAAATCTGTGCAGTTACTGGATTAGTTTAACACTAGAAAAACTAAATTGATTAAATTAAAGTCACGGGTAATATATATAGTAGTGGGCTTGTATCATAGCTATATTGTATTTTTCCTTGTTCCTTCCCTCACATTCTTCCCCCACATGTTTTACTGACTAATTTTATTACCTTAATCTTTCTCGCGACAGAAATTTCTTCACATCAGCTCTACGCGACTCCACCTCTGCAGCATCAGCATCGGCAGTGTGTAGGCTCTCGCTGCAACGAGTCCAGAAATCATACGCAACTAATGCTATTCCTACGGATTCATTTGGCGATATCTGGGACACCTCGATGTCTGTGTTGGCTCATAAGAACGCGCCAGCCTGGAGCGACGCTTTGATTTGCGTTGTAAGTGGCTTCTATTATTTATTTCTTATTCAATTTAATACATATCAAATTCTTGATGATAGAGCCCCAATACTGAATTCTCACAATAGTTTATTTGTATGGTTAAAAAATACGTCTGTTGTGGGTCTGACTTTTGATTCGGGTCATAACGAACCACTTTCCCAGAACAAGGCCCCGGATGCAGTGCAATTTGTTAGGTTACAATTTAATATCGAGGAATCTTGGTACAATATAACCTGATGTCATTTACATATTTATCATTCTATATATCAATTGGGACCATTTCTACTTTATCTACTAGCGATATTTTAAAGATATCTGAAATAACAATAACTCTCTTTGAGTCACAAATATAGAAAAAATAAAATGCATTCTCTTATGAATGTTTATTTCGACTCAGTCTTCTAGAACGATGAGATTTTCTCATCATCGTGATTTAAACGCTTTTTTCCAGCAACTGCTTGACTATCCACAATGGCAAGATCAGGTCTTACAGATCATGCCTCTAGTCCGCAAATCTCTACATGAAACCTGCGGATCCAGTGAACATCCATCGTCTGTACCAACGTCCTGTATTACTGAAAGCTTATTCACATCACAAAATAGAAGTTCAGGGAGTTCTTTTATGCCGTCATTTCATTCTCAGTTTCATGGTTATTCTCATTTGAACACTGATTCATCAAGACCAGAACTAGATTCACTACGTGTTCACCTAAGGATCTTAGAACGTGATTATGCCTCCATTCATGCCTCCTCTGGAGTTCAGGATTCATCCATTCGGCTCCGCTATGGAAATTGTGCTGATGGCGTATTTCAAGTGACGAAGAAGCTCGTCGATAAAATTAAAAATTGTGCTTCGGAGAATGAAACGACAATTCAAGAGGTAATTTAGTAGCTGGGGATAACATTGAGAGGTCGCTGTAAAATTCTCATATACACTGCCATTTCATTAACTATTCATGGTCTTTGACTATGTAATGTTGAGAGTACAAGTCCCATATTAGTAATTTTATTATGGTCATGCTGATGTTCATCAGTCAATAGAGTATAAGAAATAAATATATTCATAATGCTCGTACACAATTACAATATTAGGTTTAAGGATTTTTCATCAATGTTTCAACCGTCTCAGTATTTCCATACTTTGCAAGGCAATTCGTACGAAAGAAAAATAATTAATATTTAATGAACATTTCTGACGTATTTTTCAACCGTTTCTACAGTATTTCCCTGTTTTGCAAGGCAACTCATACGAAAGTGAAATAATTAATATTCAATAAAAACTTATTTCTGACGTATTTTTGAACCGTTTCTACAGTATTTCCATGCTATGCAAGGCAACTCGTAAGAAAAATAATTATTATTAAATGAAAACTTATTTCTGCCGTATTTTTGAACCGTTTTTACAGTATTTCCACGCTTTACGAGGCCTGGAATCGTTGCGTATACTAACTGAGTCGTCTGAATCTGCCGTGCATCGCTGCATTGCGCCGCGGTCCCGCCGCTCGCCTGAGTCTGAGATGCTACGAGTTGCCGCCGTCGAGACTCTGGCTGTCCAGCCTTGTTCACCCAGGGTAAGGAAATTATTTTTAAATGTTCAGCCCGATTACCTGTTTTGATTAATTTCTTTTCGATTTTAACAATTTATAAACGTGTTATGGTAGTAGAATGAGAAACTCTTGTAATGTTATTGAACAATTTACGATTTTTTCTTGTTTCTTTTATAAGCATAAACCGCATCAATACTATAAAATAATGGCATGACGATTGAACTCAGTGTCTATATGATTTTGCTGTTAATCTGAAAATCTAACAACCAAATTTTTTGGAACGAAAATGTTCAAATTACTCGTTTTTTCTTTAAGTTTCTTGTTTTCCCTTAAGTTTCGATGTTTCGTGTAAGCATATTCAGGAACTTTTATTAAGGAATACTGAGTATTTGTAGTATTCAGGAGTTATATTCATATTATATATTCAGACAGATTATACATATTTTTTCTTGCGTACACAAATTTTTCTCAAGCTTTTTTCAAGAGAAAATTTCCCAAGCTTTTTCAAGACAAATTTTTCTCAAGTTTTTTCAAGACAAATTTATTTTTCAAGCTTTGAATGTCTTGCAGAGTCTATTAATAATAGACCTGAAAATTGTTTCTTCTATGGTGAGAAGTTTGCGAATGGAAGGTGAAATCTCATTCATAAAGCATCTGCTATTTTTACTGCATAACAGACACGTTGCATGTCCTGCAAGCACATATTATCAAAGCAACTAAGTTCGAATTAATTTAACACCATATATGACGAGAGTTTAGACATTGTTAGAAGTCTACGGACTTTGGTCACTATATTCAATTTACTTTCAACGCACCCCGATGACAAGCTTCAGGGGTAATGTGCATATATATTACTACATTACAGCATTATTTGTCAATAATTTCATAATTAATCCTTTATCTATTCCGTTATGAACCTATCAGGTTTCTGCATCCGTTCGTCAATTTTTTTTTGAATCGTTAAGTTTCAACTTCGAATCAACATTGCCTTAAAATTTTTCATTATTATATATTGTGTATGTTGACTTTCTATTGCTAAAATACACTTTTCATTTATCCAGTTAGCTTGGGTCTTTCGTGTTCCGTACAAAGTTACTATAGTTGATTTGACTGGCATCTCTAGTTTGATTTGGGTGCTGGCTGTGGTGAAAAATAAGAAGGAGATTATGATACCGAGTGTTTTAATTTTGTATTCATTTGACCACGTAAAACTGATATTATGCCGTGCTTTATGTTCGAAATAAATTATTTTACTTTTTAGTAATTATTACTTTGCGAAGAAATATACGTGACAGTGCAAAGAGAAGTAGAATCAAGCTGTGTTAAAATTAGCTTATTAACGCAGATTGACTTCTAGTCATTAGAATATGCGTGAAATGACATATGATTTTTTCTATTTCAATATACGAGCATATTTAATACATCAATTGATGAATTAATAATCTATTGTGTCTTGTAGTCTACATTGACGTTGACGAAGTTGATTTGGGATAGCACGGAATCTTCAGAACTGCGCATAGCGAGCTACCTCAGCCTGCTGGCATGTGATGCTGACGCCGCTGCTGCCGTCCTCGACAAAATCCATCTCATTGATGATGCAAATGGTAAGTTTCAGTAGAGTATCTATGTTCAAGTTCAATTTTCAACTTCGAAATTAGGCTTTTCTTAAAATATCTAACGCATTTGTTAAAATAATTTTATTCCGTCGTATGTAAATTCTCTGTCAGTGTCAAGCTTCATCCTCTAATATATATGACGATAGACAAAAATTCTTCACAACTGAGTTCTCAGTAAAAGCAATCAGAATAACTCGATTTTCAATAAGATTCTAGTCCAAATACGAAACTCATTTACGTTGATTCAAAATTTCTATAGCCTTTAATAACACGAATCTGTTTCCAGTGTTATCGTACATGAAGTCTCGACACCATCACCGTGACAAGCATCGTCACCACCACCACCACCACACGTCCCCGATCCCTTCTCTATTCCAAGAAATATCACAGAGGCTTCGTTTGTACGCACCTGCAATTCTGAGGGACCATCTTCCACTGGATGCTGGAGTTTGGAAAAACTTGGATATTTTCCACCTCCTCGATTTGCTGAGTGAGGAATTCAAGATGGATGCTGACATTATTTATGACGGCGGATTCTTGCCTAAGAAAATTGGCTTGGAATTTCTTGGTAGATTCTGGCGGAGATTCGGGCAGAATATAAAAGTGAGTTACTGCCTATTTTCCACCTATTTATTTCAGTACTACTTACAGTAACATTAATTACTGTTCCAACCTAATATATATCGAGTGTTCCAGCGCCGCCATTTGTAGCACGATTAAAGCAAAGTGGAGGGTTTTACTGGGAGGAACGAGTAATTCAATAGAAACCTTTTGAAAGTTGAATTATTAGAGAAGCAAATTCATCGTGTTATGGAATTCATTCTCCTGTAAAAAATCCTAACATTTCAACTTTTTCTACTATTTTCAACATAAAAATATTTTTGCTTGGCCCACTGAAATGAACGTGACGACAAAAATTTGATTAAAAAATATTTATATTTTAAATTTGAAGAATTAATTCTATTTTTGATAAGAATTACGGAATAATTTTAGCGCCAGAACCTGAATTAATTTTCAACAGAAAAATTCATATTTTCTTTGCAGTTGGGAATGCGTCTGGAAAACTTCGAAGGATTCGTGCAGTCTCTCCTCCACACGAAACTTTCAACATCCCCCAGCTCTGTGTGGCAGATGAAGCTTTTAGAGATATTCAAGAACACAGCTTTGAATTTTATTGGCGATTTTATTCAAAATAATGATCTCAAATTTAATGCGACCGAAAATTCAATAAATACTGGCACCGAAGAATCTAACATTTTTGAACGAAATGAAAAAAATAAAAAACAGGATTCTGATTCAGCCACTGACGATATAGAGACGAATCAAAATTTCTTTACTAACGCGGGAAGTAGAGCAGGATCTTCCAGCGACAGCGGAGAAAAAAATTATTTTGATTCACGTTCTCGCAGAAGCTTTACAATTTCCGACTTGCAAGATATGATGGGTTCGCTCTTCAGCCATAAGCAGACGCCCACAGCCATATGGCTGTGGCTTAGACACGGCGGGGATTTACGATGGAATAAGAATTTTGCCTTCACGTTGAACGATATTCGATTGTCCTTGCGTTTATGGCTGGAAACTCATGCAGAAGACCTCTTGAAATCTCTTCTAAATAACGAGGTACGTTCTTATTTTCTACAATTTATAAATAGTTCAAATTTAAAATTTTGAGGGGTTGGATGATTTTATTGTGGCGCTAGTAAAATTTCAACTGATTACCTCTTTTGATGCCAATTTGTCAACCAGAAAACAGTACTATTTTCAAAGCAACGATTACTCTGCAAAAAGTTCCAGGCTTTTTTCAAGTGTTCCCTGGAATTACTTATATTGTATTCACAATGTATTCTTTAAAAGAAATTGTAAATTTGCACCAAATACACCCTTATTTGAATGAAAGTCTTTTCCATGATGAATCATTGTAGTTTTATCAAGATTATCTCGATACGAGTTTTTTCAATCTGGTTTCAGTCTTTAGATATCTACAATTAAATTTTGGCTGCCTTTTTCAAACATGAAAATTCCCCAAAACTATCTTTTACACGGAAAAATTGCCTACAGGAACTTTTTTCAAGTTTCGTCCTACCACTGAGCCATGTTCCTGCCAAACTCCACCCCATTGCGGGACCCCCACTTCACCTCCGCAGCCACGAAGGTCTCATCTTCGACGGGCGCATGCGCGCGGGACTTCATATCTTCAGTGCTCTTTGGGATAGCAAGAAGAAATTGTCTGGAGGGACCAGATTCAGGTTAAATTTATTTGAATCATGTATAAAATCATTTGAAAAAATACAAACTATTTGATCATAAACAACAACAATATATTCAGTTCTATATTCCCAAAAAAGAGAGATAGCATGAACGTCAGTTTCTTATTTCTGAGAATAAACCGACATTAATTATTAAACCTTTTTTAATTTACTACCTCTAGCACCGAACAAAGAGCTAAATTATCGAAAAGTTACAACATATAATAATTTAAAGTTTGTAGCTAACTTTTAATTTCAAATCGAAGCGTGAGCTCCTACCGCCATCTTTCGGTGCTCACTGAGACACAGCGGGACTCAATCTGGCAGCCATTGCCCGGCACTCAAATCGCATGGGGCTCATCTCTGAACAAGCCTCTGCGAGCAGCCCTGGACGCTCATTTCGAGCTAACTATTGAGGTAAGGTCATATGAATAAACTATAATAAGTTGATACTAAAAAAATGGAAATTTGTAAAATAATACTTGAGAGAGAATGATTATGCTTCGGTTTCCAGGTACCAAGCCATATAAAAGATTTGTAAACTCGACATAAAACGTGCAAGAAGCATACGTTCCATTTTAGTTTAAAAGACTATAGTATAGAAATTCCGTAGCATATTTTTTAACAGACAAGAACCAGCATCGGCTTACTCCATAAAAAATTTCTGTACTCCAAAGAATCAGTGAAAAGCATAATCAATTAATTAGTGTATCCGGCATTATAATTTCGGTAGCAATATCAGTTCGTCATTTGAAATTTCATTAGAGTTTAATTAAATTTTAATCATAGAACTATCTTTCCCATTTTTTATGTTGCGTAGACTGAACTGTTATGTTTCACAAACGTCGTGTATTTTCTGTCTTATTTTTATTAAGTGAAGCTGAAGTTTTCAGAGGCGTGACTGCACGGCTGGTAAACCAAGCTTAGCGTTGCTCGTATCATTGCCTAGAGCGTCACCGTACATTGCTCGTCATTTTCGTCTCGCACGTCAACCAGTCGTACGCGATCATTTCGCACCACGTCAGGCCTGATTATCGATACAAGTTGGAATGTACCTGCAATAACCATACGTTCATATGAACCACACATTAAATTGAGGAAGAACTAAGTTATTGTCTATGGTTTTGATGCAAGGCTGGCATATGAACGTTGTTTTCTTCCATCAGAACTCCGCAAGCTTGTCGCTCTCACTGCACCATGAGCCGGCCGTGAACATGGCCTCGGCTACGGTGTTTAATTCTGGTGCGGTCACGTCTTCAGTCCTCCTCGCTCAGACAACTCAAGACACTGGAGGTGAGTGCAGGTATTTTTTAGTGTAAAACTAATTTGGATTTAAATTTTTACTTTTATGTATGTGTAAAAATTAAATGTGGCTATGGTGTTGAATGGTGTTGAAACAAGGATGAATATTGGATGCAAATTATAACTCTTTCCAGTGAGTAAAGGATCCATATCTATCGCAAATGCCAATTGAAGAAAAATGATTCATAGCTTTAACCTTGATTTGAGATTTACAAGAAAAGTTTATGTAAAAGGATAATTATTACAGTACAGCGTTTAATGTAATACAGCTCCAACAAGCTTTTTCTGTGTGTTTTTATACTTCAGAAATGGCTCGGCTAACACTAGTGAAATTTAAACAGCATTTCTGCCATTATTGAGTGAATAAATTACTACTTGGTTTGGGGGAATTTTCGAGTTGAATTAAAAAGGTTATTTATACTAATTATATTTCAGAATCGGCTAAACTGACACTCATGATATTTGAACAGCATTTCTGACATTTTAAAATGTATAAATTTCTAGATTTGGGGAATTTTTTACATTAAATCTACAAATTTATTTATTTGAACAGCACTCGAGCTAACAACTGTTTTTGAAACATGATTGGTACTATCGAAAATGCCATTTTGCAACTCCTACACTGACTGCTATTAAAATTGGAAAAAAACTATTGTAAAACGGCTTTGACATCTCTGCCATTTGTATAGCCGCTGCGCAATTTTATAGTGGATGAATTTCTCGAGTTAGGTGAAGTTCGGTGTTGAATAAATTATAAATGTAGTTGTCATCGGAAAACACTCTTCCGAAATAGTTGAATTAGCATCTATAAAATTCATGCAGCAACTGTACGGTTGAAAAGTGAATTATCCTCGAGGAAGAATAAATATTTGGTGTTGAATCATTTGAGCTTCAACCAGAAAACGCATTTAGGAAACGGCTGAACGGAAACGAATTATTCTGTTAAATCGATAAGATGGAACTTTATGCTATAATGAATCTGATTTGAACTTCTATAAAATATATCCTCAATTCCACGCATTTTCTTTTCGATCAGGAGTACCAACCACAAAGGAAACATGCTCCCCCGATTCTGAAAACCTTCTGGGTATAAAATTTTGTCGGTTTGAGTCCGCGACCGAAACGCGGAACGCGGACATGTTGCACGCGAGTTCCGCGTCGGCTGTTAAAATTACCAGCAGCGAAGGAGTGGACGGTCACGACCTGTCCATTTCAGTCAAAAATCCAGGTGAAAATTAATCAATGTAAATAAATTCGAATTGTGATTCATTAAGGTATGATATTTTTACTTCTGCAACTCGCATGACATTCCATGTTTCTTCCTTTACAAAGCCATTTTCACAAATTTATTTGTCAATTCCTAACTTGTTACCAAATAACGGAATAATTTCTATAACATTCTGCGCACCATATTTCAAAGATCTGAAGAATATTAAATCACCTAAATCGGTGCCACCATAATATAGTCGACAAACATATAAAATGTAAATTTGAACAGTAATGATATACAACGAGTAGTATATACTGTATATACCAACAACAACAATAATAATATCCAGATCTTTCACAAAAAAGCTAGGGTAATACTTTATCAACACAAAATTAATTTTACTTGTGATTTCCGCTTATTAGAATTTTCACTTGAATGCTGAGTTAATAACGTTTCTATTCCAGCAGGCCTAAACTCGATATTCGTGGATGCCTCAATAGCAGCCAGTGAAGCTGTGACGTCACCCCGAGCGTTGCATGTTATACTCGGGGCGTCTCGTGACAGGCATAACGCTGATGTGCGTTGTGACGTCACGGGCCGTGACTTGCTGCTGTCTTACCAAGGTAGGTGACCAACGGAGGTAACACTAGGTAACACAAGATAACACTAAGTAATACAAGGAACACTAAGTAATAACACATGTTACGAAGTAGGCAATGGCTTTCGATACTAACTAAAATAACGAAAAATTTGTTGGAACATCATTGAAACTAATTGATGTTTCACCATTCTGAAACTAACCACTAAATTAAGCTTTAGACTAACTCTTATTTTATCGGTGCAGGTCTGTAAGACGAACCTGAGAATTAATTTAATTTTGAATTATACTCGCCAGGCAGTGCAGTGCTCGCGCCGAACCTTAAACGCCTTGAATTAAGAAGCTCCAGTCATGGCCAGGAACGCGGTATCAAGGCAGAGGTCATGATGGTACAAGACGGTGGACTTGTGAGTTCTATTCTTCCTAAAATTGATTATAAACCATCATGAAAATAAATTTGGAAGAGAAAAGAAAACGGTACAAAGTACTAACAAGATAATTTAAACATTTTCCTATAACTGACTTGAATTTTGGTGTCAATGATAGTAGATTTGGTCTGTAATATTGCAGTTTCTAGAAATCTAATATTCTTCTGCTGGAAAGAACCTTTTTAACACAATATTTTCTTCGCGTAGACAACTTACAAACCAAGGCTTCTTTTGAGCACTCCTGAGGAGCCAGAAGACAACCTCCTTGAAGGCTATGGGTCCACTTACTGGTCCGAGAAGCAGAGAAAACTCTCCCTTGATGTCTACACTTTAGGCAGCCTTAAACGCATCATCGATGTTGCCGCTAAAGGTGAGGCATAAAATATTAGGCAATTGTAATATATCTGCTAATAATTTAATTGAACATATGTGTAATTAAATTTAATTAACCTTACAGCAACGGTAGCCATTCGGTCCCCGACTGCATCTCTTCTGACTCTGTCCACAATTGTAATATATCTGCTAATAATTTAATTGAACATGTGGATAATTAAATTTTATTAACCTTACAGCAACGGTAGACATTCGGTCCCCGACTACATCCCTTCTGACTGTGTCCACAATTGTAATATATCAGCTAATAATTTAATTAAACATGTGGGTAATTAAATTTAATTAACCTTACAGCAACGGTGGACATTCGGTCCCCGACTGCATCCCTTCTGACTGTGTCCCTGCAAGACATCGTTCTGCTTGTCGCTGGGACAGAGTTCACAGCTGAAGGAGTGGCCGCTGTAACACAAGTTGGAATGCATATCAGTGCCCAGGTGGATCCCATCTAATTCAAGGACGAAACTACACTTAGGAAATGACCGAGTCATCATCACCTGTTATACACTAAAATTATTTAATTTAATTTCTCGTGATATTCTATTTATTTCAATCCGGTTTCATTGTATGTCCATACAATGAAGACTTCCGCCTTCGTAACTTATAGAAATTTACTTAATTTACAGTTTAATAAAATTTTAAATTAAAGTCTAAATTATATTTTATCGATGCTTCAGTATTCGTTGGATGGACATCCAGTGTACCTGGGTGGGCACTGGCAGCACAGCGCCCAAGAAGATCACGATCAGCTACTGCACTACAACGTCGGGCTGGTCGGCTACGGTCACAGGTCAGTAATAAATAAATAAATTTCTAATTAAGTAAATTATTAAATAAATATGTTCTTTATTGTATAAAGACGTAGAATTTTTTGAACTCAGTACATCATAATTTAATTGTAATGAGAAAATTAGATTTTATAACAAGAATTTTCAGAAATGCTGATATTCATCACCGAAGTCAAGGCTCTTCATTTGCAAAGCTATTACTTTCAATAATTCTTTGTACTTAACCTGATCAATTTATCAGGTATCACAAAATTTAGAAATGACAATTTCCCCATAAATTTATCTGGCTTAATTTCAATCTAATCAGCTTTAAAGTTAAAAAATTAATAAGTTGATCTGAGAATAATTGCATAATTTTAATTTACTTTAGAGATAAGAAGATGAAAGATAACTATCTTTCATCTAATAATATTAAAGTTTCTAAAGCAAATAAATTAATTCAAGAATAATTGTATCTAAAATACATAAACAAATAAATTAATTCAAAATAATTGTAGCCAAAGTTCATAAACAAATAAATTCGTATATATAAGAATGTTCGTAACAGGCCTGTACAGCACCACCACACCGGACCCTACCACCGCCACCCCAGCGGGCGCGTGCTGGAACGGCGGATCCCGGACCCCGAGACTGGGGGACCTCAGGCATACCTACTCGGTCTGCACCTCACCGCCCCCCACGCCCCCCACTGGGACTCCAGGCTAGACGTGCAACTTTATCTGCAACAGAACATGGCGAGTATATAGAACAAAAATATAACTCAGTACTCACTGCAGTGAGTGACAGAGAGCGCATTTTCTCGTCGACGAAAACGTGGTCACGGACAGACAGACGGACATGGCGAGCACAATAGTGCATTTTTTTCCATAAATGAGAAAATGCGCTAACAATATCAAAGCAATTTTTTCGGATACATAGCAAAGCATGGCAAATAAAAATTTGTATTAAGCCTTGGTCTGTAAGACGATAACTAAATAGAGATGTAAACCGAGGAGGGGATGTGGCAACTGCAGGTGATGTGGCGTGGAGGAGGGGATGTGGCAACTGCAGGTGATGTGGCGTGGAGGAGGGGATGTGGCAACTGCAAGTGGCGGGCGTGAAAAACGGGCATGTGGCAACTGGTGGTTATGTTTCGTTCAAATACTTGTATGTGCTGTAGATGTGACATGCGGAGGTAATTTGGTGGAGACTGGGCAAATACAGGCGATGATGTTCCGCAAATATGGCGTAAATTCTGAATATACCGGCGAAGTGATGCAAATTCGGTAGCTGGAGATAATACGTAAATGTAATATTTGTACATTATATGCTATTAATGGTCGAAGTGTAGGTTGTAGATCAGTGGTTCCCAAACTTTTTTCAGGCTGGCGCCCCCTTTGGCTCCTCAGTGAATCCCTAGCCCCTCCCCCTCGACAGACACATGAAAACAAACGCCTCTTTCATGATATTTAGTATGCTGCAATTTTAAAAAAGAAAGGTTAAGCACAAATATGTATTTCACAAATAGAACCCCATTTAGTAAACCAATATATTTTTTGTACAGTTTTAACTGTTTCAGCACTAGAAACCCAGGACGTCTCGGGACAAATTTACGACCGGACTCGTGGCCGGTCTCAAGGCCAATCTCCGAATTCAGTGACCAAGGAATATCTCTCAAACTAATGAGCGCAGCTCGATTAAACTTGGAACACGTATTCATTATGACCTAACGGTGATGTTTAGTTCGTGAAAAATATTTTAAATTTCACCTTCATTCGGGAGTTATATGGCGATACGGGTCGAAATTCGCAGTGATCAAAGAATTTTTTTCCAAACTACTGAATAGATTTGAACGAAAATTTTAATATAAATTCCTAACTACCAAACGGTGATTTTTAGCTCGTTAAAATTTATTCGAGTCTGGGTCATGTTCTGCACGTGTTGTGTACAAATCGTCAAACAAACGTACAAACTTCTGACTTCGACTTCGCGGACTGCCGCCCCCCTACTGCCCCTTTCTTCCTCACCGCCCCCCAGATCTTTCCACCGCCCTCAGGGGGGCGTTATCGCCCATTTTGGAAACCACTGTTGTACCTATATTACCCTTTTTATGGTAATGAAGTAACTTACTAAGTTGTGAACGATGAACATCGTTCACTAATATTCATCGCTCGATTGATACGATCATTTACTCCATGTGCATTTTTTTGGTTAAATTGTTCTGTCGCGTCTGGTGAAGCTGCGCCAGTAACATTAGAGTCGGACCTTACTGCAGTATGAGCTACGTAACGCGAGGTCAGGGGCCATACTTTCAAAACTCGCTATGTATAATTGAACGTAAGTACTTACGCTCTATTTTCTTGTCAATGATTGGTGGATTTTGCTTGAAAGGTCGTCAATGATTGTCTGACGAACTTACCATCTATTAACTTATTTTGAAAGTAAAGGCCCAGGTCTGTGTGGCTGTGAGTCAGGTAGTCAGTCGTGTCCCGCCAGCCCCACGGTGAGGTTCTACCTAATTCACCTCGCTCCGTTGCTCTACTAGCAATCTTGTGCCCCCAACGCTAGTTCTTGTGGCTGTGCTCTAAAAGTTTCGTCTAGTAGTGTGATGTCTCTGGTGCTTGTACTATTTTATTCAACGCATTGATTTTAAGTGTTTTTTACTGAAATAAAAATCGAGTTTTATCCGTGTTAACTGAAGTTTTAATCAACGCAATCCGTGCAAATGAACGTTCATCAAAGTTATCGTATTTTAACAAGATAGTTACCGGAGTTTGGCCGTAAGGCTCGAGACATTCTGACAAGATTAAAGGTTGCGGCGAACGTCCGGTGACAAAGTAACTTTTAAACCTATGTAACTTATTCAGTAACTTATTAACCTAAGTAACTTATTCAGTAACTCATTAACCTAAGTAACTTATTAAGTAACTTGTTAACTTAAGTACCTTATTAAGTAACTTATTAACTTAAGTACCTTATTAAGTAACTTATTAACCTAAGTAACCCCCAGGACTTGGACGGCACCGCCGGCAGGAGCGAGGTTAGCAACGGGCGGTTATTCCTGCAGGTGCTGATGCCGTCCCTGCCGTCCCTGCTGCTTAACAACAGGCTGGACGGTGAGTGTCNGCTTGGAACAATATTCATCATGGACAGGCCATACTATGGAAATTCGCTTCTCGGTTTCTCGTCTGCGATCTAGGGATTGAGCTCAAGAAGCCATCATCGATTCTCTGATTGAATTACAAACTAGTGAAATATTTTTATAGTACAGTGTCAGGATAACTGTAATAATAATACCAAATAATACACGCCCTGTAGCTGAACATTGAAGGAGAAGGCTCCAGTCGCCACAACGCTACCCCAGACGTCAGCCTCTCCGTGCAGCTGTCGTCGCCGCTCACCAGCGCCGTACAGCTGCACCTCTCGCTGCTCACTGACGATACCACTGCTCATCGCAGCGATACCACCTTGACGGTCGGTTGCGATACCACCCCAGTATTTTATTATTGATTCGCAGTGTTCATTCCTCATGTCACAATATGTTAGTTTCAGATGTCGCATCGCAGCGATACCACCTTGACGGTCGGTTGCGATACCACCTCAGTATTTTTATTATTGATTTGCAGTGTTCATTAATCAAGTCACAATATGTTAGTTTCACGTGTCGCATCGCACCGATACCACCTTGACGGTGTTGCGATACCGCCCCAGTATTTCTATTATTGATTCGCAGTGTTCATTACTCAAGTCACAATATGTTAGTTTAACGTGCCGCATAGCACCTATACCTTCTTGACGTACAGATGCGATTCTAGTGCTGCACTTTAATTTTTTATTCATATTAATCATGCCTCATGTCAGCAGTAACATAGCATGCATCAAATATTTTTTGTCCCGATTATTAATCTCTTAATTTTTACATTAGTCCATATGAAGACATTCAAGAGTCGTCAAAGAGACTATAAAATAGCTTTAGAAAGTGTGATTATATTATTATCATTATTATTGAACTCAATTTCTAAGTAATTGTAATTGATGTATAAGCTGCGGGCGATGTCGGAGGCGAGGTTCTGGACGCCGTTCAGCACCAGGGTGGTGTGGGGCCGATGGGGATCAGACGTGAACCATCCTCTCACCCCACAGAATGATAGTGTAACATCATCCAATGATGACAGTGCAGGTGAATTGTGGGGCTTTAAAACCAGAATTCAATTATCTTTTACTTCTATCGCATGCTTTGCTTCTTGAAAGTATACCAGATTGATAGTGTAATCCAGATGCGGTACTTGAAAATTGACGCAAAAATAAGTACTCGTAAGTATAAAAATCTTGTACGGTACCTAACTGATAATACTTATACGGGCTTTTGAAATATATAATTAAGAGTAGTTAATGAATTTTGCATGTCCAAACTCATTACTTTCGCATTTTTTACCCACACATCCCGCAATGCGCACAACAGGATGATTATTTTATGACTTTCACATTGTAGCTCTGCATAAACTATTAACTCTGTAAACAAAATGCAATTCGAGAAGACCTACAACTCGACAAATTTCACAAATTTTTCTCTTATTTTTTAATGATACATCCTTCAATCCTGTTGTTTCTACCTGTAAAGTCGCAGAAAACGAAATCATCGATCTGAAATCCCCACTCATCGCGGCACCCCTCGTGGTAGCGAGGGGCGGCCGGCTTCTTGTCGAGGGGAAGCTGGGCCCGAGGGAGGCGACGGTCGCCCTGGAGGGAGAGTACGTGCCCGCTGGGGCACATGGCTTCATCGTGCGAGTCGATGCTGCTGAAGACGGGCTTGTCGATCCCGTTACGTCCAAAGTCAAGGCTTTTGTCGACTTTAACTGGTGGGAATAATCGTGTGTAATGAATTTTCAGTTCATCTAAGTTTCATTATGAATTTAAAAAAAATGAACAAAATTAAGGCTGTTGGAAATAATGGTTTGTAATGAATTTTTAGTTTATCTAAGTTTCTCTATGAATTTAAGAAAATGACAAAAATTAACGCTGGTGGGAATGATCATTTGTAATGAATTTTTAGTTCATCTTAGTTTCACTTTGAATTTAAGAAAATGAAAAAAATTAACGCTGGTGGGAATATTCATTTGAAATGCATTTTTATTTTGTGGAAATTTCTAGTTTTTTTTTAATTTACGGTAAAATTGTGTTGAGAAGTAAGGTCATTATTTATTAATTCATTTCGTATACTTGAAACTCATTAAAAATGTCTTTATATTGAATTCAAATTTAAGATATTCACAGAATGTAGAACTTGTATAAATTAGCTCAGTTCATCGCGAGTTGTAAAATTTTAAATTTTAGTGTTACTTCCATGCAATTTCGAAACTCAATTTATGAACTTATTCTGATGGAAGTGACTATTCTATGCAAAATATTCATAATATATATAAAAAGTTTCTAGTGCAATTCATTGTTAACTCGTGCTTTGTGCTTGGTGATTTTTTGTTATCCTTTCGGCGGTATAAATCTGCAAAGTTGCCGGAAACGAAATAATATTTTGTGTAGATTACTAATATTATACGTTATAATATTAACCTCTGACTTACCGGCCAAATGAAACGATCTTCCATGTAATTACACAACAACATACCTCAATCTACCGGGTACTTAGATTTAATATATGCATGTGAATATGCGTGCATTTAAATGCATTACTGTAAGAAAAACACACGGTACTTAAATTTAATATATGCATGTGAATATACGTGCATTTAAATTCATTATTAGTATATGTTGGCAAAATTTGTTCCTTTAAGCAGGTTTCATTGAAGACCAAAGAATTTGTTTTATTGACAATTTTCTTATTAGTTTTTTTAATAGATCGAACAACATTTTTATTATGCACGAGTAAATCGAAAATCAGATCAGCGAAGGACATTTTTATTTCTTTAACGACGTTTCGAACGTTTCTATAATTCATTATCAAGTTAAAAGGCGCATTGAGTGATGGAATTTGGCTCGACATAAGTACAAAATCAAGTAAATAGGATACAACTCAAAATAATTACAAAATCACATAAATAATTAAAATTAGAGCACCGAAAATCACTCCGAAAACAGCCTTAATGTTCTGACAAATCCAGTACTTTGAAGGTTGATGGCTGGGGTCCTATCCTTAATGATGAGGGCCTCAGCTGTCGCGAGTCGGTTGGCGTCGGGGCATCGCATGACGGCGCTGGTGCATTCTTCCAGCACCGTACAAGTGATGGTCTCGTTGTGGGCTTCCATCAGGTGGTTCTTTGGTCCACCAGACTGAAAGTGGCACGTGAGACGTCGGCTTAATGTCGCGATTGTGAGTCCGATGTAGTCCATGTTAGGGAGAAGTCTACAACCTTCTCTATTGCAAGAAAATTTATAGACTACATTGGTCTGTTGGAAAACTCCCGTTTTTGCAGAGGTTATTGTTCATTACAAGATTCTGTATTTTCTTGTTCTTGCAATAAATCAGTAGTTTAATTATACCCGTGCAAACTGAAAATCTTGTTCGATCTATTGAAATAACTAATAAGAAAATTGTCAATAAAACAAATTCTCTGGTCTTCAATGAAACCTGCTTAAATGCATTACTGTATGAAAAACACACGGTACTTGAATTTAATATATGCATGTGAATATATTTACATTTAAATTCATGATTCTAGTAAAAACACACGGTACTTGAATATAATATATGCATGTGAATATACGTACATTTAAATACATTACTCTTGTAAAAACACATGGTACTTGAATTTAATATATGCATGTGAATATACGTACATAAAAATGCATTATTGTAGCAAAAACACACATACACTTCGAGCAGCAATGAACATAATATCAGTTATCGGTGCATGGGATCTGCACAATTTTGAACAGTGCGATTCATTTATTAATTAAATATGCATACCGTATCTTTTTATGTATTGCAAACTTTTATCTATCTAATACAATATTATATTAACTCATCAGCATAAGGCAGGAAAAAGTTAATTAGTACGGTACCATGAAGGCTAGTCTGAAGTTAATTGGCACGGTACCACGCAGGCTAGTCAAGTTTATTGGTACGGTACCACGCAGGCTAGTCTGAAGTTAATTGGTACGGTACCAATATCCTTTCGGCGGTATAAATCTGCAAAGTTGCCGGAAACTAAATAATATTTTGTGTACATTTTTAATATTATACGTTATAATGTTAACCTGTGACTTACCGGCCAAATGAAATGATCTTCCATGTAATAATACAACAACATACCTTAATTTACCAGGTACTTAGATTTTAATATATGCATGTGAATATACTTACAGTTAAATGCATAACTGCAGGAAAAACACATGGTACTTAAATTTAATATATGCATGTGAATGTAAGTGCATTCAAATGCATTATTCTAGTAAAAACGCACGGTACTTGAATTTAATATATGCATGTGAAGATACGTACATTTAAATGCAATATTCTAGTAAAAACACACGGTACTTGAATTTAATATATGCATGTGAATATACGTACATTTAAATACATTATTCTAGTAAAAACACACACGGTACTTGAATTTAATATAAGCAATTATGCAATCATGTTTTTGTTTATACATTTAATCTAATTTAAACAGTCCGAGCTGTTTTAAATGTATGCCGCGTAAATTTTCATTCATTTAAAAACTAATTTATTGTTTCAGTTCTCCACCCCGGAGTGGCGTTTGATCCACAGCAACAGCCTCGTCCAGCTATCCAGCTTCGAGCTAAGCTCTCCATCATCAGTGCTGGATATTCTGGGGCACAGCAACACTGCGCTGTCCAGTGGAGTTCAGTACCGCACCACTGCACGGCTTAAAGTCGAGGTCCAGCAGCTGGATGAATACCAGCTTCCTAAGCCACAGCTGGACGTTTTCCTTATACACGACCTAACTGCGTCCAGTGGAGACTCCAACTGGCGCAGTGTGTGAGTTCTTTTTTGTTCAAGTTCAAATATGTACGAGTTCAAGATTCGAGTAAGAATGCAATATTGTGTAGGAGGATGAACTGTTCTTCAGCCTACTGAACTGCAGAGGGATAATATTCAGTTCTCCGAAATAGGTGCTATAGCACCATGAACATTGCTGTAATCCTCTAATCAATCAAAATAATCATTGCTGTAATGTTCTCTAGCCCTCTATTCCATGGTTTTCCAGTTAATTTATTTTTGAATGTATAAATAATCATATAAATAATTTATTATTACATCAATAAATTTTTAGTCAATTTCTTTAAGCTTTTTTTCTTCAATTATAATAAATGTTTCATTGTATAAAAAATTATATTTATATTAATCACTGTTAATTTCCTTTCATAAATTTTTAATATCGTGAAGGTTCGAGCACAACCTGAAGTGGTCACCAAACGAGGTTTTCGTCGATGCTAGTCTTGTCAATGACCAGAAATCAATTTTTTCTGGCGAGATCTCGGCGCAGAAATTCCCTACAACTGGAGCTTTCCAAGCGAAAGTAATTTCCAAAATACAAGGATTTCTGGAGGTGCAGTCCAGCCTGCAGTTGATGTCGAGAGGAGCAGTGCTAAATGCACTGGTCTTCTTGCCGAAAATTGACAAAGAAATAAAAGGTTCTGTATCTAAGTCACTTTAAACCTTGTGTCTAAAGACTTGTTTTTGTTCAGCGTTAGCTCACCATCATTTATTTTGTACACTTGTGATATAATATATATCTGCTCTCTGATTCAATGAATAATTCATTCAAACTCTGCTTCTAATGAATAATTCATCGTCTTTAACATGTATATTGCTACTAAAGTCGTAATATATATAGTGAACGTTTTATGGAGAAAAGTCTACGGGACTCTGACATTACATTTAAGTATCTTTCGTAACTCAATGAGCTGCGGGAATGGATTGGTAAGAGGGGATGGTAAGATATTAGAGAAGGGATGGTAAGAGTTAGAATTATGACAATACGGACTAATATATTGTAAAGTAAAGCATCAATTAAGGATTTAAATTTCAATATATGCCTAAATGTTTAGGCAAGCTATTAGGCATCGCAACGCCTACTGGAGGATCCCTTCTGAACGGCGAGCTGTTTTGGGATAACAAGCGGGACCTCAGCGACGCCATCACCTTCCGTTGTGAGCTCCAGCCGAGCACTGAAAACTCTCTGCATCTAGAGTGAGTAATTATCCATTTAGCTACGTATAACTAAACCAAATTTGTTTTAACTATCTTTGGTTGCACTATAAAGCGGTTCACTAATCATTTCAATCGGTACAGATTTCCAACCATCTTATAACAATGTTAATTCAGAGTACGTATTTTCTGAAAAGCTTATAACAATGATATTTCAAAGTTGAAATGAAAAATGATTTTAAAATATTACTTTGTTATTATCAATATCATCAATTTCTTTTTGATAGTAACTATTACTATTTAGTAACCATCCTTAATTCTGAATTTAAAAGTAAATATATTTTTGACAATTAGCGTAAAGTTGACAGCGGCGGGAGAGACGTGGAGCGGAGACGTGCAAGTTGCTTTAGGTCGCACGTCGTCCGACAGGCAAACCATCAACGTCGTCATCGTCATGCCTGACGCTACCAAGTAAGACAGAGACGAGTAAGAAATACTTGTGCAACGTTCATACCATTACTTTTTTTTCAAGCCCATTGAATATTTTCATCTTCCTCTGGAAATGTTTAGCGAGACTTGACTCCGGCACGCACAAATACATGGCGAACTTCTACGACAGATCTGAGGACACTTTCAAGTATGACGTAGAAGTTGAGGTAAGTAGGAGGAAGATATTCAACAAGTGAGTTCACTTCTTCCATGACAGATCTGAGGACACTTTCAAGTATGACGTCGAAGTTGAGGTGAGTAGGAGGAAGATATTCTATTCGTTGTGCCGGATGTGAGTTGCCTTCTCCGACGTCTTGTGCAAAGATATTTTAACATTTTACGTCAAAAATGAACCTTAGAAAATTTATTGCTGTATTCGCACATCTGTGATGTTCCTCAATCCTCATTCTTCTCAATCGAAATATTGAATTTTTTAATGACCAAATTCTGATTATGAAAAATTGAAAACTGATTTTAGGCTAATAGGATAATAAATCTTTAAAAATAAAGGAGTGGAATAATGGAGATAATAAAGGAGTAGTATAAATGGTTAGTATTCAATTACAGTCGAGCAATTATGCAATCATGTTTTTGTTTATACATTTAATCTAATTTAAACAGTCCGAGCTGTTTTAAATGTATACCGCGTAAATTTTCATTCATTTAAAAACTAATTTATTGTTTCAGTTCTCCACCCCGGAGTGGCGTTTGATCCACAGCAACAGCCTCGTCCAGCTATCCAGCTTCGAGCTAAGCTCTCCATCATCAGTGCTGGATATTCTGGGGCACAGCAACACTGCGCTGTCCAGTGGAGTTCAGTACCGCACCACTGCACGGCTTAAAGT